AACAGTCCCTCTGTGTCTACTTTATCAGCCCTTTAAGAATCTTATATGTTTCAATAAGATCTCCCCTAATTCTTCTGTACTCTAGAGAATATAGCCCTAATTTATTCAGCCTATCCTCATAGGTCAGTCCCCTCATCCCAGGAACTAACCGAGTGAATCTATGCTGCACCCCCTCGAGGGCAAGTATGTCCTTTTTTAAATAAGGAGACCAAAACTGCACACAATACTCTAGTTGCGGTCTCACCAAGGCCCTATACAGTTGCAGCAAGACTTCGCTGCTCTTATACTCTAAACCTTTTGCAATAAACGCTAACATGCCGTTCGTCTTCTTAGTTGCTTGCTGCACCTGCAAACTAACTTTTGAGACTGGTGTACAAGGACACCCAAATCCCTCTGAACGCTAACACTATCTAATCTCTCCCCCTCTAGAAAATAATCTGTTTTTCTATTTTTTCTACCTAGGTGAATAACTTCACACTTCCCCACATTAAATTCCATCTGCCACCTACTCGCCCACTCCCCGAGCCTATCTAAATCCCATTGCAATCTTTTTGCATCATCCTCAGAGCCTCTCCCACCGAGTTTAGTGTCATCCGCGAATTTAGACACGTTGCATTCAATGTCCTCGTCTAGATCATTGATGTAAATTGTAAATAGCTGAGTCCCAAGCACTGATCCTTGTGCCACTCCACTAGCCACATTCTGCCAATTCGAGAATGACCTGTTTATCCCTACTCTCTATTTTCTACCCGTTAGCCACTCTTCAATCCATGCTAATATGTTCCCATTAATCCAATGGACCTTAACCTTTTGCAATAGGCTTTTGTGTGGCACTTTGTCAAATGCCTTTTTAAAATCTAAATATACTACATCTACTGGTTCCCGCCTATCTAACCTGCTAGATACATCTTCAAAAAATTCTAAAAGATTAGTTAAGCATGACTTCCCTTTTGTAAAGCTATGTTGACTCTGCCTAATCTTGTTATGGTCTTCCAGGAATCCCATAACGACATCTTTAATTAAGGATCCAAGAATTTTCCCTACCACTGATGTCAGACTACATGGTACATAGCAATATGGTAGTGTAATGGACTGGAAAGGGTCCTTGCTATTCTTCTGTTCAGTTCACCACCCAAAAGTCCACAAAACTACTCAGTTGATGTCTAGTGACTATCCTCCTCGGGGGGGAGGTATGTAAGCTGAACTGCCTTCAAGGATTTGCAGCACTCCAGGGCACTGCTGATAAGGGAACAGCCAGCCTAGCTCATCAGCTCATCACCAATCGCTGAGAGCAACCAAAGCTCTAATGGATTGGGTGATCCTATCTGGACAAATTCTTCATTGAACTTGCTGTCACGTTCAACACTCTCGGTGTTAAAGTCATCACGTCTGGACTGTTTGACCATTTTCCCTCCTATGATCATGGAAACAAGGTGCACAACAAGGGACCACTGTGCGAATTTCAGTGATCGATTAAAATATATTGGAACTTTTCCACAAACATTATTAAAACAACGTGAGCAGCAAATAATCTGAAATGATTAAGCAATGAGAATTTCTTAGACTTCTTGGTAACATATTGACATTTCACGTGAGGCTGTTTTCTATTCCTCTCCTGCCCTCCTTTCTGTTTTGAGCAACTGACATAACATGCCAAGGGAATTCTCTTCTTAATATTATTGCATAGGATCGGTCACTTTTTCTTCCACTGACTGAGTGAGGACTTGTTATGTTCTTTCACGTTGGAGAAAAAACAGACCACTTAGTGGACCTTGCAGACAGGTTAATCCTATTAGCAGTAATTTGGCTCTGAGGTTTCATTCCACTGCAAATGAGTGACTTGAGAAGCTCCAATAGGGAGGTTTGGCAAATGACATTTAAAACAGTAGCTTTGTTTGAAAGAGAACATGTAATTATCGGTAACTGATACCTATGGGATGATGCATTTTCTCTCTGTTGATCTCTTTTGAAGTGTGATATATATGCAATTGAATGTGGATCATTAAATTGAATTGCTAAATGTATGACGCAGCTGAGGATCATTTTGAAATGGGGAAGAGGAGGGTTCAGAGGAAACTCATGATAGAAAAGGGAATAGATGGCCTAGACCAGTTGGACCCAATGCCCTGTTTCTGTGCTGTAACATTCTGTGTAATTTTATATAAATAATTGCTATGTCCTGCTTAATAATCCCTCAACTAAAATTGATCACTCACTTCACAGCTGTTTGTGGGATATTGCTGTGCGCAAATTGGTTCCCGGTACGCCAACAATTGCACGGTTGCTACACTTCTGTAGCAATCCTGTGAAGTTTAGTCCTCCAGTGTAGTGATTAGGGCGCTCATCTCAAGTGAAAGCACCCAAGTTCGATTCCCGGGCGGGGTGAAACCTTAGGCAAGATTCCCTACTCAGCGCTTCTGTTTACCTAGCAGTGAATAGGAATCCAGTTGTCAGTCGTTTTCCCTCAAAAAAAAATTGGTCATTCCATCCAAAACTGTTTGTGGGACACTCCAATGCAAAATTGGCTGCCGCATTTCACCCACAAAATACAGTCAATTCACTTTACAAAATATTCTGTGAAGCGCTTTGAGACGCTTAAACGATGTGATTAAGCCGCTGTGTCCGATGCAAAGGTTATTATTGTTACTATTTTAAATATTCGGTGTAAATAGTAATGCTTCATAAACATGTTCACATGCTATCAAACCTCACTGATTTCAACCCATTTATCCAACTTTCGGTAGTTGCATTTCACTTCAAACCTATAGTTGGCAATGTAGCTTTGATTTGCAAACGGCTTATTATTTAAATTGCATTTAGAATTTGCAATGCACCCTTGTGTGTGTGTGTATATATATATATATATATATATATATATTTGTGTCGTGGTGGGTGGGGAAAAGGGGTCACCACATTTTGCTTTAAATACTTTCAGTATGCTTGAAAATATTGCAGCCAGCAAAACAACAACAACAACAACAACAAGATTCCATTTATAGAGCGCCTTTCACGTCAGGAGGACGTCCCAAGGCGCTGCACAGTTGGGTCATGACCCGAGCAGGGGGGAAATGGTCAGGGTGAGGGGAGGGAAGGGAGGGAGCGAGGAGGGGGGAAATGGTCAGGGTGAGGGGAGGGAAGGGAGGGAGCGAGGAGGGGGAAGAGAGTCGAGGGGGGAGCTGAAGGCACGGTCAAAGAGAAAGGTTTTGAGACCGGCCTTGAAGGAGGAAAGGGAGGAAGCAAGGCGAAGGCACTGGGGGATGGAGTTCCAGAGCCTCGGGGCTGAGAGGCTGAAGGCCCGACCACCGATAGTAGGGCGGTTGGGGCGGGGGACGTGGAGCAGACCGGAGCCAGAGGAACGGAGGGTACGGGCAGGTAGGTAGGGGGATAGTAGGTTGGAGAGGTAGGAGGGAGCAAGGCCGTGAATGGCCTTGTAGGTGAGGATGAGGATCTTGAAATCAATCCTCTGGGGGATGGGGAGCCAGTGGAGGCGAGCGAGGGTGGGAGTGATGTGGTCCCGAAGCCTGGTGCGGGACAGTACACGAGCTGCAGAGTTCTGAATGACCTGCAGCTTGTGGAGGGAGGTGCCGGGAAGGCCGGCGAGGAGAGAGTTCCCATAGTCCAGCCTTGAGGTGACAAAGGCGTGAACCAGGGTTTCAGCAGCGTGAGGGGTGAGGTAGTTATGTTAAAAATGATGTTAATAATAACATCAATAACTGTTACGGAAGAAATGGAGCTGAACGCAATGAGAGATTAATATCTTGTCACCATGTTTAGATTAACCTATTGCTCACATTCCATATCCCCTCAGGAAATATCCATTACAATAACCTCTGCACACAATCTCCTGGTTACTCCTAATCTATTTGCTCACTCACAGCAAACTGATAGTTTAGGGGACCACAATTTATCTAATAATTCCAGTTAATTGCCTTTTAAAATGCCAGGGGAGTTCGTGAAACGCTTCTTGGAATTTTAATATATATTTATAAATGTTTTTATATATATATATAAAGAAAATTCAGTTTCACATCAGAGAACAATTCATCACCATCAGGGCTGGAGGTTTTAATCCACAGAAAGAATGTATATCCTTCTACCCACCCTTAAAAATAAAAGCCTTTTAAAATCTTCTCTGCGTATTATCACCCGTTTATCATTCAATGTTTCTCTCCAGTCGCGCTCATTGCTTTTTGGGTTAATGTAATAGGTTGAACAGGGGCAGCCTATTGAGACACAGTGGATGGTGAGCGAGTGAGTGATATTGTGTGCGTATGTGTGGGAGAAAGACACACACACAACACACACACTAGGCAGAGCACAGACTGCTTCAGACTTCATCGACAAAGGATCGGAGCTCGGGAAACCTTTGAAGACAGACAGAGAAGCCAGGCACTGAGACACAAACACCACACGCACACATACACACACACAACGTTTCTGCTTTCATAAAGTGTTGTAAGTAGGAGAAAAAAAGTACTTTAATATATTAAAAAAACCTCCCCAAATCTCTGGTTTAGAAGTACAGTACAGTAATTCAAATTAATTTATATATGTATGATTATATTTATACGTTATAATTTTTAGAAATAATTTCTAATTTTAAATTATGATTTTAGTTTATATTGTCCTGCAATATTTTAATATTTCATGCAGCAAACTGTTAAAGAAAAATTAAAACAGTTTTTTTTTCTGATTTTCCTCCTCCCCCCCCCCCACCACCCACTTTATACATTTCATATTGACACCGTGTTCATTTAGAAGCTAAATATATTTTTTTAATTGAATGTTTGGATTTGAAAAGTTTTAAAAAAATAGAAAAGTTTCATGGGCTCTTTCTGTGCTGTAATATTCTATGATTATATGTGTTTTCCTTCTCAGGTTGAAGCAACAAACAAAAGGGTGGGGTGGGGAGGAAAGGGAGATCCAAGCGAAGGGTGTGTGTGTGTGTGTGTGTGTGTGTGAGAGACAGAGAGGGACATACCCAAATATCAAACCAAAGGATGCAACTTTCACAAGAGCCAGAGGATTTTCCAGGGAACTGTTCAGACTTGGCTAATCCACTGATGGGAGCTGTACATGGCTATTTGTGTGGCTCTGAGCACCCAAACCACACTGACAACCACAGCATCCCTGGAGATGACAAGGAGGAGCTGCTCCTGAAATACCTGGGACCCAGGAAATCCAGCTTTTTCACCCCCGTCTGCATCATCTACCTGTGGATCTTCGTGGTGGGAGCCTTGGGCAATGCCCTGACCTGCATCGTCATTGCCAGGCACAGGGTCATGAGGACTCCAACCAACTACTACCTGTTTAGCCTGGCAGTCTCGGACCTGCTGGTGTTGGTGTTAGGAATGCCGCTGGAGCTGTACGAGATGTGGAACAACTACCCTTTCCTCCTCGGCCGAGCCGGCTGCTACTTCAAGATCTTCTTCTTTGAGACTGTCTGCTTTGCCTCCATCCTCAACGTGACGGCGCTGAGCGTGGAACGCTACATCGCAGTGGTCCACCCGCTCAAGGCCAAGTACGTGGTGACTAGGACCCATGCCAAACGGGTCATCGCGGCCGTCTGGCTGGTGTCCATTTGCTCAGCCATCCCCAACACCAGCCTGCATGGCATCAATTACCTGAGCATCCCCTCCGGCCAGCGGATAGAAGAGTCTGCCACTTGTACGCTCCTCAAGCCAGCCTGGATGTACAGCCTCATCATCCAGGTCACCACCGTCCTGTTCTTTTTTTTGCCCATGGCCACCATCAGCGTCCTTTACCTCCTCATTGGCCTCCAACTGAAGAGGGAGAAGCTGGTGTCCGAGCTCAAGCCTGCGCTAGGCAGCGGCCAATACCAGACCATCCGAATGCAACAGGAGAAGATCAAGAGGCGTCAAGTCACGAAAATGCTGTGTGAGTTTATCAACCGCTCGTCTTTGCATCAAAATGAATAATCCTTGCGTTTGATATTGTGCTTTTCGGGTCCAGAGGATGTCTCAAAGTGCTTCGCGGATTTTTGCTCTGAGTGTGTAGCGACTGGATATTTCGTATGCGAAAAATGAGCCAGCCAGTTTGCGCTTGCGTCAACAGTCGTGAAGTGAATGAGCACAGGGACCAGGCAGTAAAGCAACCAAAAACTGGTTTGAGATGTCCTCCGAATAATAATAAAAAATACTAATAGTAAATTGGGCACTCAATCCGCGGCTGTTTGTGGGACACTGCTGTGCGCAATTGGCTGTCACGTTTCGTCCACAAAATATATAGTCAATTCACTGTACAGTATATTCTGTGAAGACATAAGGGGCTATATCAAAGGATTATTATTTAAAGGAAGGCGCCCGATCAAATGGAAAGTGTAATACTTTTATCAGACAGAAATCTGTAAACTTCCCTCTAACATTATAGATCTGTTGCTTTATGCTCGTACAGCAGTTCATTGTGTCTGAGAATTCAGGTCTGAACAATTTTAATCAGTTTGCAAATGCAAGTATGACTTAGACTGCAAGATATGACTTTAAAGCAATGAAACTGTTTGCATTCGGTTACAGCTTCCACAGTGCTTTAATAATAATAATAATAATCCTTGTATTTGATGTAGCAAGGATGCTCACTGTTCAAAACAGCTTCCCTTACACAAATCTCCCCACCAATTCTCCCTCCAATTCTCCCCATCCTCTGAGTTTAAGGTATCTGCACTCCTGACAGTCCTCTCCTCATCAATCACCAAGCTAAGTTTATGTAAGTTTGCTAACCTGGTGACCAAACTGTCGGCAAGTGCAGTTCTTTGTAAAACATTTCAAAACAAAAAAACACAGCCGTCACATCTTTAAATCGCTGAAGGACACATCATTATTTTTGTGGAATAACTCCCCCCAGCGAAGGTTGTGCTTTTGCTTAATTAAATGCTACAACATGTGTATGGATGTTTCAAAGCCCCATGGCTTGGCGTCCACGTCTGTTAAGCATCCAACATGAAGGGCTGCAAGTTGTTGCTATTGATCACAAAACTGTGCAAGGTTCAGTAAAGGACTGGAAGAGTTAAGACTCAGATTGATGTAACGCACTCTTCAACCCGCTTTAGCCACTGCAAAAAGATTCTTGCTGATGTTCAGAGAGGCAGATAATAGCACCACGGACAATCAATCATTCAGTGAGCTACAACTGTACTTATTCTTTGTAATGCTGTGCCCATTCACTTGCAAAATGAAGTGCTCTGTACCACCTAACCTCTCATTTGTACTCAATAAAATAGATGCATCGTCAAGAGCGATGGACAAATGAGACACGGCTACATTAAAATATTAGATGTAATTGCCAATTAACAGGGAGGCTTCACAATGTAACGTGTAGTTATCATTGTGGAGAAGATTCTTAACATAATAGGTAGTTATCATCATTGCCATGATTATCAATCTGTTCAGCGAAATCTACGGCATTTTGGGGGGATAGATATATTAAAGGTTTTTTTTCTTAGCTTTTAAACTGACAACGGCTTATCTTTCTCTATGTTTCTGTTGAAATTCTCTCCATATATATAAAAAACTATTAAAGTATTAAATCTGCGCATATCAATGTGACTCGGTTAACGCTATCTTTCATATATGTATTCCCAATTACCTGTTCTTTCCCCGAAACCTCTGACATCCTTCCCTTGCGTGGGCTTATGTAAACCCCTTTTAAATGTCCCCAACTAGATTCTATTCCAGTGACAATATGAAAAACAACTATCATGAAACTTTTATCTGATGATTATATTAAGATGATCACTTCACAATAAAAACAATTATAATCAAGCGATCATCTTAACTGTGTTTATTGGCAATTGGGTTAAGATTTCCCACATCATTCTTCTGTGTCTGGACTGAAATCTCCAGACTGCCTTCCTACAGAAGCTACAGAACTCTCCTCTTCTGCACCAGGCTCCATAAAGCCCATCCACTCCCATCCTTGCTCGCTTCCAGTGTCTCCTCTCTCCCCTCTCCCCCCAAGGGATCGAATTTGCGATCCTCGTCCTTGCTTTCAAATGTTTCCATAGCCTCTCCACCTCCGCCTTATCTTAATTGTCCAGCGCTTTTGGACGTCCTTCCTACATGAAGGTGCTATATAAACGTGTTTTGTTGATGTCCTCCTCTTCAGTTATTTACTTTCCTTCACCCTCCAACTCCAACTCCCCCCCATGCCCACCCCCCCCACACTCCTCACCCTTGATCTTGGGCTCCCGGTCAGCTCTCTGAAGCATTCTGAGCTGCCCTCCTGATATGAAAGGTACTGTACAAATCTAAGCTGTTGTTGCTGTCGCTAGCTATTCCCAATGTGTGAACCATCGCTATCATAATTCTACACTGGGACTAACTGTACAGCTCTTACAAAGAGCCGGCATAGACACAATGGGCCGAAGGGCCTCCTTCTGTGCTGTAATATTCTATGATTGTATGAATATTGATGCGTTCTCTCACAGGGGTCTTCTGTCTTCCACAGTCGTGCTAGTCATTGTCTTCGGGATTTGCTGGGCCCCGTTTCACACGGAACGATTGATGTGGATCTTGATCCGCAACTGGACCGGAGAGCTGCACAGGCTGTATCAGTTTACACACATCATTTCGGGCGTCTTCTTCTACCTGAGCTCGGCAGTGAACCCGGTGCTCTATAACCTCATGTCCACGAGGTTCAGGGAGATGTTTAAAGAGGTGATGTGCAGACGCCGAAGGACCCGGGGATCGAAGCCGGGCCGCTATTCAGCGAGCATGACCAAGACCATGACACCCAGCTCGGTCCTGGAGTCCGGCCACGGTAACGGACCTCCCATGTCTGACATGGAAGATTACTGATCACTAATGATACCTTGAATGTAGCAACGCGGACGACAATTACATTTTATTTTCCAAATCGATAGAATGATCGCGGAGGCCCATTGCGCAGGGCGCCCTTTCGCACCAGCGTTTTATTTGCACCCCCACCTCACACGGTTGTGGATTGAGCCGCAATACGTCCGTCAAAAGCCCAGTAAAAGAACGTGCGTGATGCCCTTTCACTTCCCCTTCTTTAACCTGCCCGGCTACGTGGCAGCTTTCGCGCTTGACGGACTCGAATTATGGAGATTCATAACCCAGCGTTGTTCAGTTGCAAGGTAGCGTCTCCTCTTCGGTAATTGGACGCTCGTCATGCTGACCACTGGCAGCCCTGCCGGGCAGGTAGACCTCGGTCGTGGAGCTAATAACCAGTGACGTGTTTCCAGTTATCGGGAGAAGTCGCTGTTCGCGATTCCCATTTCACATCATCGGAACGTGAACACTGGTGGCCTCCCCTGGTCTTCGGGCAGCCCTGAAGTGCAATAGGAATAGTGTTGGAGGGAGAGAGTGAAGGAGACAGGAATGGGTGAAGATTTGTGGGGAGTATAAACACCAGCACCGACTGGTTGGACCGAGTGGCATGTTTCTGTGCTGTATATTTTTTGTGAATCTTTGTCAGTTTCTGATGTCCAATGTGATGGGGGTGATGGACAGAGAGCAAATGGATCCAGTTTGTGGGAACCTCACTCACCAGACCCTCACAGCTGGGGATGGCGCATGACAGGGAAAGGGCCAATAGGACCTGACTCACCAATAAGCTCTTATGGAGCAATGGAACACCACAGAGAGTATTCCCAATTTAATAATAATAATAATTATAATCCTTACATTTGGATTGTGGAGGGTAAAGCATTGTTAAAAATTCCACTTCCTCTCCTCCCTGCTCAGTGCCTCCTACCATCTCTGTGAAGCACTTTGAGAAGTTCATCCCGTGAGATACAATGCAATGCAATTTCAATTTGGATAGCGCCTTTCATGTCGGGAGGACATCTCAAAAGTCTCGTATAGAATACCGACGAACAGGTAGAGATGACGTGGGGTGTAAAGTTCTTTGATCAGAAAGTTTGCAGACCTTCCTCTTCGACTGTGCCTTCGGCCACACTCCATGCAACTACCCCCCCACCCCACCCACTTTGAACAGTTGAGTTTTACCAGTGGCAAAGACTCCTATAGTCTCACTCCATCAAAGCCTGTTCACGTACCAATATCTAGACAATTGCTTGCGTTGTATTATGTGTGTGTGTGTGTATAATAACACTAAAGGCAGACCAAACTGTATTTCCACTTGTTTTTGTTACATTTATAGAGTTATCGTGGGCTGTTTGCGAATATTAATAATAATAATAATAATCCTTGAATTTGGTGTAGCTCCTTAATCATGTCTTTTAGATGTCTCAAAGTGCTTCATAGAATACATACTGTAAAGTAAATTGACTATATTTGTGGGCGAACTACAAGAAGTCCTGTTAAAACAGTGTTGTTCACCTTATAGTTAAAAAAAGTCCTTTTTCTTTTTAAAAACAATCGCTGTACTTTTAATTGAGTTGTGATTTCTTGAACGTGTGCAGAAAGCTGAATGGCTTATTTCACTGTAAATCGCCACTATATCAACCGCTTTCTTTTTAAAAAAATCTTCTGCTTATACACCAGTTGGGTCGAGTTGTCTGAGAGCCTCTCAATAAAATGTTCGCAAAGTCACAGTGTCTTTTATTGAGTAAACTGATTGTTTGCACTGGAAGAGTTGTGGATGATTTAGAAGAGAGTGAAGGACCATTTAGCCGCACTGTGAAAGGTGCTCTCAACTGATCGGACTTGCAGTCATACAGCTGTTTTGCCAGGTGAGATTTTGTTTTTAAAAGATTTTGTTATTAGTTTTTTTTTGTCATTTCACCCACCGTGAATTCTTGTGCTCCACCTTCAAAGCCCTCCACGATCTTCCTCGCCTCTACCTCTCCGACCTCCTAACCCCATATCAGCCTGTCCGCTCCCTCCACTTGGCGGATACCGGTCTGCTTCAGGTCCCTCGCACTTCCCGCCCCACCGTTGACGATCAGGCATTCAGCATCTCTGCCCCCACACTCTGGAACTCTATCACACCATCCCTCAGCCTCAGCCCCTCTCCTGCCTCCTTCAAGTCCCATCTAAAGACCTTCCTCTTTGTTTGTGCCTTCGGCCACCCTCGCTTCCCATCTCCCACCCCCTGCCCTCTACCGCTCCTGACCCCAACTCCCAGCTGGAGTCCAAAAAATCCTGACTGTCCAGCTCTCTGGGAAGGGTTTCTGACATGAAGGGCACTACACAAATGTAATTTGTTGTTGTTGTTTAGTACGGCTGGTAAATCATAGAGTCCCATAGCATAGCGCTGGAGGAGCCCTACAATGTTGGAGACGGATGAGACTTTAAACCGAGGTCCACTCGGCTTGGTCAGATGGATGTTAATCTTATGGCACAATCCCCAAAGAGTAGGGATTTTTTTCTGGTTCCAGGCCAACAATCCCCCAGATAGAATATTACAAGCACACACCACTACAGAGAGCATAGAAACAATGAACCAGAAGAGAACAGCATGAGACGAATTCATGCTTTGTTTTACAAAGACACTTGTGGATCTAAACTCAAATCATTTCTAATTGGAAGTGATATCTATGATCCCAATGGATTCTTAGATATAAAAATTTTATCAGATTGGTTGCTCAGATCGTGCTTCAATTATTTATTCATGGTGTGTTTAAGCAACAAAAACATTTATTTTTACATGGCAATAAACATTTAAAGCAAACATTACATGTCTTATTAAAATAATAGAAATCCGCATGACTCATTTTATGACTTAAGTTTATTTTGTCAATTGCTCACCAATTTCCTCTCCTCATTTGAAGGTATGTGATTATACCTATGAGTCCAAAGGCAGTTCCAACTCCCTGTCCTTCAGTGGAGCATCACTTAAATATTATACTTGTATTCCATTTCCTAATTGAGCTGTGGCTTTCTTTGGGTCAGGAGAACGATTTGCCCTGGGGACTGGGTTCAGGCAGTCCAGACAAGTCGGATGCCTGCAAACATCAGAGTAGAGTAGATGTTTCAACCATCAGACTTGGCTGAATTTGACCTCCGATTCCCAGATGTCCCTGGTTCCCCTAGTAGTGTCTTAACACACTCTGTCGCCCAGAGGTACAATTTGATCTTCTATAGCCCAAAACTTATGAAAAGTCATCCAATATTCATCAAATTGGATCAGCTGTGATGGGAAGGACCTACTTACCTAGCCACGGGTGCTGGGTTTGACAAATAGTGAAGTTGATTTCTGTATGTGGAACACGAGGAAGACAGCAACTCTGCGATTCTTTTGGTTAATCTTCCAGCTGGCAACATTACATTTAATGTTTAGGTTTGATTAACATCTCATGTTTGGCTGGCAAGAATGTTACATTTTCAAACATATTTTTCCAATAATTTCATGGTCAGTAGGACATACTGCTACACACAATGGGTGGCTGATTTGCGGTGTCTGTATTTCATAATAAGGAATCTCAGTTGAACAAATGGTAACCAGGAGTAGGTCAGACTGACCCCTCTGATCTACTGATGGAACAAACTTCCTCTGGGTTGATGGAATTGTAAAAGGATTCCACATTAAGAAATACCGCAAATTTAGAACACGATGTGGCCATATCTGGGTAGTGTTTTTTTTCCCCCAACTTGCATTTGATACAGTGCCTTTCACGTCTCAAAGCGCTTTACAATAGTGACAGCAAAGTGTAGTGACTGTATATTTTGTACGTGAATGCAGCAGCCAATTTGGGCACAGTAGTGTCCCCACAAATAGCCGTGATCAATTATAACTGGAGGATTATCGGCCAGGTCATTGGAAGAAACTCCCTTCTCTTTTTGAGTTGTGTGTCATGATCTTTAACGTCCACCTGAACAGATACAGACGAGACCTCGGTTTAAAGTTTATGTTTAAATCTTGATGTGTTACAAAACAACAAGTAACTCAATTATAACTGCCTTGATTGTCATGTTGAAGATTTGCCATGTGATTTATTATTTTACGGTGGCATGTCTACATTGTTGATTTCTATTAAAAGAAATAGCATCAATAACAGTTTTATTTTAAGAAAAACAAATTACCTACTCTAAAGAAGTTATACAGCAAACAAAATAAATACGATAACAAAAGGAATATGATGAAGTGTATTGTGGAGGAAATATTGTGTTTAACTGTACGGAATTCTTCAACTGGTAATAGCTATTATAATCCTGATCTGGAAATTCAGCAGAGAGATGATTCAGTCCTGTTACTCAGAAAATGCTGGCTTACATCACCGCCTTGTGGTTGAGAGATGCCTTTACATGTTACCACAAATTTTTGGTTATCTTGTATATAGTATTAATAACAATAATAATCCTTGCATTTCATACAGGGCCTATATATATATGATATATATATCACCTAACCCTAACCATAACCCAGAGACGTCTCAAAGCGTTTCACAGAATATTACTGTAAAGTGAATTGACTGTATATTTTTTTTTGCGCAGCCAATTACGCAAAGCAGTGTCCCACAAACAGTCATGGATTGAAGTGACCAATTCATTATTATTTTTTTTTGAAGGAATTATTACCCCCATGAAAAGCGATTCTCCAATCGATTAACAACTGGGTTCCTAATTAATGCTAGGTAAACAGGTGTGTGGAATAAGGAAACTTGCCCAATGTTTCGTCCAGGAATCAAACTCAGGCATCTCACTTGCGAGGCGATTGTTCTAACCACCAAGCTACAAGACCCCACGATTATTATTATTTTGGGGGAGGGATTATTTTTGCGACACCATTATTGTGAGGTGTGTGGAGTAAGAAAACTTGCCAACGTTTTGCCCTACCGGGAATGGAACCCAGGTCTCTCGTTTGCGAGGTGAGTGCTCTAACCACTGAGCTACAGGACTCCACGATTGCTCCATTTGCTCCAGTATTGCTTTATTTAAAAAATAATAATAATTCTTGCATTATCACATCATCAAAATGCGCTTCACAAAATTT